AACTAAATGAAAGGAGGCGATCAATTTATCAGACATAGAGTTCAAAGTAATGATGGTAAGGATGCTCAAAAGCATAAAGAGACATAAAAATAAAAAAAAAGAACCAGTAAGAAATTAAGAATGAAATACCTGAAATAAGTAATACATTGGAAGAAATAAACAGTAGGTTAGATGAAGCAGAGAATTGAACAGTGATTTGGAAGACAAGGTAGGAAAAAAAAACCCACCCAAACAGAGCAGCAAAAAGAAAAAAGAATTTTAAAAAGTGAGTTTCAGAAATCTTTGGAACAACATGAAGTGTAACAACATCTTCATCCTGCATCTACTGGAAGGAGAAGAGAGTGAGCAAGAGATTGAGAAACTATTTGAAGAAATAATGACCCAAAACTTCCTTAACCCGATGAAGGGAAAAGACACACACTTCCAGGAAGTGCAGAGATTCCAAAACAGCCCATACCAAGACACATCATACCTGAAATGGCAAAGCTTAACGACAATGAGAGAATCTTAAAAGTGACAGGAGATAAGCAGTTAGTTACCTACAAGGAAGCTCCCATTAGGCTGTCACTTGATTTCTCAATAGAAACATCTCAGGCCAAAGGAGATTGGCATGAAATATTCAAGGTTATGAAAAGCGAGAACCTATAACTAAGGCTACTTTACCCAGCAAGACTATCATTTAAAATTCAAGGAGAAATAAAGAGCTTCCTGGACAAGAAAAAGCTATAAAAGTTTGTTCCCACCAAAACAGTATTCTAACAACTGTTGAAGGGATTGCTTTTAGAAAAGAAGAAGGAAGAGAAGAAGCAAAAGAAAAAGAAACAGAGGAAAATAGTTTAAAAATAAAATGGCAATGGATACATATCTATCAATAATCACTTTAAATATAAATTGCTTAAGTGCTCCCATCAAAAAACATAGACAGCTTAATGGATAAGAGACAAGACCCATATGTACCATATTTTGTCATGTACAATGCACACCCACATTGTTCTGCACATTATACATGGGATTGTTATACCCATTATTATACCTATGGTATGTAATCATTATACCCATGTATAATGCACATCCTTATTTTTCCTTCAAAATTTTGGGCAAAAAGTGCACATTATACATGGCAAGAAACAGTATGCTGTCTCCAAGTGACCCGCCTCAGAATGAAAGATGCACACAGACTAAAAATAAAGGATGGAAGAAGATATTTCATGTAAATGGAAAGGAAAAAAAGCTGAGGTAGTAATACTTATATCTGACAAAATAAACTTTAAAACCAAGGCTACATACAGTAACAGACAATGGACATTGCATAATGATAAAGGGAACAATGAAAAATATTTAAAGAACTCCAATAATTTGACAACAACAACAAAACAACCCAATTAAATAAATGAACAAATGACTTGAACAGAGATTTCTCAATATGGCCAAGAAGTATATGAAAAGATGTTTAACATCACTAATCATAAGAAAAATGAAAATCAAACCCACCATGAGATACCACTTTACACCCATTAGGATAGCTAATTACAACAAAACAAGACACAGAAAACAAGTGTTGGCAAGGATGCAGAGTAATTTGAATGCTTGTATATTGCTAGTGGAAATGAGAAATGTTGCAGCTATTGTGGAAAACAGTATGGCAGTTCCTCAAAAAATAAAAAAATAAAGTGTTACCGTATGACTGGCAACTTCACTTTCAGACATATAACCAAAAGAACTGAAAGCAGGAACCTGAAAAGATACTTGTATTATAATGTTCCTAACAACAGTATTCATAATAGCCAAAAGGTACAACAAACAACCCAACTGTTTGTAAATGGATGAATAGATACAATGTAGTATATGTATACAAAGGAATATTATTCAACCTTAAAGAGGGATGAAGTTCTGATACATGCTAAAACATGGATGAGCCTTATAAAAATTATGCTGAGTGAAATAAGTGAGGTGAAAAAGGACAAATGTTGTTTGATTTCACTTGTATGAGGTGCCTAAGATAGGCAAATTTATAAAGACAAAAAGTAGAATAGAAGCTATTGGGTTGGCAAAAAGTTGTTTTTTTTTTCTGTAAGATGGCTCCAGTAGCACTTAGTTTTATTTAACTTAATTTGAAACTATTTTGTTACATTTTATTGTGATGGCTGTCATTTGAGCACTCATTTAAAGAACATCTAAATTAGTGAATTTTTGTAGTCATTTTGATATTGAAGACAGAAGAAGATATGCAACATTTGTGGCATATTATGGTTTATTATTTTAAGAAAGGTAAAAATGCAACTGAAACACACAAAAAAGATTTATGCAGTGTATAGAGAAGGTCCTGCAACTGATCAAATGTGTCAAAAGAGGTTTGTGAAGTTTCATGCAGGAAGTTTCTCACTAGGTGATGCTTCATGGTTGCCTAGACCAGTTAAAGTTGATAGCAATCAGATCAAGACATTAATTGAGAACAATCAATCTTTTACCACTTGGAAGATAGCTGTCATACTCAAAATATTCAGATCAATATAGTTATTGGTGAAAATGAAAAATGTGCCTTTTATTTTATAGAAAAAAACCATACATATTTTTGGCCAACACAATATTAGGGGTTGGGGAGTTATTGTTTACTGGGTATAGAATTTTTATTTCAAATAATGGGAAATTTCTGGAAATGAATAGTGTTGATTGCACAACCTTGTGAATGTATTTAATGCTGCTGGATTGCACAAGCCTATTTTTTCCAGAAAGGAAAACAAATGAATTGATCTGTCTAATGGTGTTCAGTGTTTTTTTTTAGGATTTTGTTAAGCATTTGATAACTTTTAAACTCATCTTTTTTCATGAACTCAAAAGACTCAAAGGTCAGAGTTCTCAAACTTGGACCCATCCCAAACACCTTAATAAATATTAAGCAGACACAGGAGCCAAGATAAAGGCATAGGTAAATACACTTTGCCTCCTTGTACAACCAAAGAATGAAACAACCAATTTAAAAACAAAAACAACCAGACAATTGAACTGATTGGAAGTCTGATGCTAAGGAGTTAAAGAAGAAACATTTATGCAGACTGGCAGGAGGGGTGGAGATGGGCAGCCAGGGAAGAGAGGACACGCAGCAAGGTGGCAGCTGGCAGACTAGGCAGTCCCACATTTGCATGCAGATAAACTGGGAGGCACCAATGGGAGAGTGAGACAGACCACACAACCCAGGTTTCCACTGTGGGCAAGATAAGGCCTCAGAACCTCTAGCTTTACAAACTTGTGGGGGTTGTGATGGCAGGAGAAATTGCTAGTCTCTTGAAACTGGGGTGAGAGCCAAGCAGCTAGCATTGTTCCCTCTCTGACCACTCACCCACATATAACACCACAATGCACCAAAGTGGGTTGCCTTGCCCTGGCAAATACCTAAGGCTCTGCCCCTTACAACATAAAAGGTGTGCCAAGCAGAAGAAATATGGCCCAAATGAAAGAACAGATCAAAACTCCAGAAAAACAACTAAGCAACAAGGAGATAATCAACCTATCAGATCTAGAGTTCAAAACACTGGTAACCAGGATGTTCACAGAAATGATTATGGTCACAAAGTAAAGGAAGAAGTGAAGGCTATACAAAGAGAAATAATATTCAGGGAACCAATAGTGAAGGGAAGGAAACTGGGATTCAGATAAATGATTTGGAATAAAAGAAAGAAAGAAACATCCAGTTGGAACAGAATGAAGAAACAAGAATTCAAAAAAATGAGGAGAGGCTTAGGAACCTCTGGAACAACTTTAAATTTTCCAATAAGTGAATCATAGGGGTGCCAGAAGGAGAAGAGGAAGAGTGAGAAATTGAAACTTATTTGAAAAAATAATGAAAGAAAACTCCCCCAATCTGGCAAAGGAAATAGACATACAAGTCCAGGAAGCTCAGAGAATTCCAAAAATGTAGGACCCAAAGAAGAACATGCAAAGACACATAATAATTAAATTACACAAGATTAAAGATAAGGAGAGAATCTTAAAAGCAACAAGAGAAGAGAGTTACCTACAAAGGAATTCCCATAGGACTATCAGCTGATTTCTCAAAAGAAATCTTGCAGGCAAGAAGGGGCTGGAAAGAAGTATTCCAAGTCATGAAAGGCAAGGACTTCCATCCAAGATTATTCTATCCAGCAAAGCTATCATTTAGAATGGAAGGGCAGATAAAGTGCTTCCAAGATAAGGTCAGGTTAAAGGAGTTCTTCATCACCAAGTCCATATTACATGAAATGTTAAAGGGACTTATCTAAGAAAAAGAAGAAGATAAAAAACTATGAACAGTAAAGTGACAACAAACTCACAACTATCAGCAACTGAACCTAAAAAATACAAAACAAAATAAACAAACAACCAGAACAGGAACAGAATCACCGAAATGGAGATCATTTGGAGGATTATCAGCAGTGAGAGGGAGTGTGGAGAATGGGGAAAAGGTACAGGGAATAAAAAACATAATTAGTAGCTACAAAATAGACAGGAGGAGGTTAAGAACAGTGTAGAAAATGTAGAAGCCAAAGAATGTATATGTACGATCCATGGACATGAACGGAGTGGGGGAATGCTGGAGGGAATATGGGTAGTGTGCAGAGGGAATTAAAGGGGAGAAGAAGAGAATGGGACAACTGTAATAGCATAATCAATAAAATATACTTAAAAAATTGAGTTGTCTTCTTAGCGCCCTGGCTGGCATAGCTCAGTGGATTGAGCGCTGGCTGGGAACCAAAGTGTCCCAGGTTCGATTCCCAGCCAGGGTACATTCCTGGGTTGCAGGCCATAACCCCCAGCAACCGCACATTGATGTTTCTCTCTCTCACTCTCTCTATCTCCCTCCCTTCCCTCTCTAAAAAATAAATAAATAAAATATTTAAAAAAGAAATTGAGTTGTCAAGTTCCTTAATTTCAGGTACCAATTAAAATTTTAGTATATGAGTGGACATTTTACGATTTTTTAGGGGAGGCATATTTTTAAAAAAATAATCTTTTTTCTGATTTACCTTCCAGGTGATGTTAAGTTTTCTTTGGTGAAGGTGTCTATGCCAGAGGGTGCATAATTCCAGATGATTTCCTCAGCAGCAATGTAGTAGTGTCTAATGTGTTTCCTATGGCTATTGTCCTCTGAAGAAGGCTTCTTACAGTCTTGTACCAGGAAAAAGGCCTGCAAACCAGCTGAAAAACACAAAGGAACAGATGTGTTAATAGAGCCAATGTTTCTCCTATTGCCTTGTAAATGACAGATGGAAACTGAAAAAATAGATAGCCAAAAACAGTTACTATAATTTAGGGGAAACAGTTATAAATAAATTACTACTGATGGAAAATTCAAGCAGTTTTTTTTTAAACTTCTCTATGTAACATACAGAAAAGATATTAATGAGTAGTGTTTTCGAAAATGTGGTACGATTTTCTGTGGGCTTTTACATGGGAGGTCTTTTGATGAGAAAAAAAGACATTAATAAATAAGTGAAGAAGAAAGGCTTTGCTGTGTTTTAAAAGGTAGTGTGGGGTAGAGGAGGAGGAATGGAGTGGACATCCGTAGTTATTGTTCTCTCACATGAAATGGTCGGGCATGTGCTGTGCCAGGCCTTCTGCTGCCAAGGTCACATGTGAGAAGTGTTATGTTTGAAGGTCAAAGCAACATATCCAAAGATCCAGATTAAGCCTTAATTTCTTCAGGAGACCAGTATTACAAACAAATGTTTTTCAAAAACTAGGAAAGTTTTATTACATTATATGAAAGAGACAAAGAAGGGATTTATCAAGTTAAATCAAGGAATAGCTGACTCAAATAAAAAACGAAGTTGGTTTGGACAACAATAAAAAAATACAAAGAAAGAATAAAAAAAATTGGCTATATTTGATAGAACCAAGTTAAAAAAAACAGATATTTTCAGCACAATATACAAATATTACAGTGTTCACAATATGGTGTAAATTTTACAAAGCTGAGAAACTGTACACAGTATTATACTTTAAGGGCAGTAGTATACTTTTAGGGCCAATTGTTCTCTTCCAAAAATTAATATATTTTCCAGATTTCATTAGTTTATAAATATTTCAGTCTTTCAGTCTTTTAAAATTATATTATGGTGCATACCATCATAGGAATAAAATTAAATTACCTGTTCAAAGTTCATATCATTCCCAATATATTTAGCTTTTAGTTTCTGATTACTAACGATTATTGCATTAGTAATATAACTGAGGCAGGACGTTTTTTTTTAGCTGACAGCTAATTTCAGGTAAAGACGTCCTACCTTTCAGATGGTTTAGATTCTGACAGCTAAGAATCCATTCTCCAGGGTTCTGGGCCACCATGAAAGCCTCAGAAAGGGTAGCAGGAAAGAGATTGATTGTATCCACACGGTAGTTCTTGTAAGTCAATGTTTGGCCGTGGAAGAAAGCTGCATGCACATCAATTTCATTACCCATGCCAAAAAGATACCATTTCACTCTGTCCTCTGCACACATGGACAGTCCTGGGAGACTTCCAAAAGCATATCCATTCACAGCTGTGAGTCAAGAGCAGAGATTGTAACTGATAGACATTGTTGCCTGGGATAATGATAGTTACTGCTGCAGAAATAAATCAATTTGGGATTGAAAACACCTGGCACATATACTACTATTCTCCCCTCTCTTACACCCACATCAGTCATTACTAATCAGTCACAGCACTCTTTAATTTTGGACCTGAATTCAGCTTCAGGATTCTTTTTAACACAGTACTAGCAGATGAACATGACACTGAAGATAAAGCCTATTTGCTGTTTTTGTTACAAACCATATTTGTTAATACAGATGTGTGCATATATACAAAACATATACACAAGTAGTGAATACAAAAAAGACAGATGGTTATTTAGTAATGATCATTAATTATGTTGATGGTGGTAGTATGGATGATTTCTTCTTGCTTATCAAAATTTTTCCAGTTTTCTATAGTAAAAATAAATTGATTTTGTAATAAGAAAAAAAGAAAGGGCTTTTTAAAAAAAAGATTGGAAGGCAGAATTAGAAGACAAATATCTGATCTCACCTTAAGTGGAACCTAATCAACAAAACAAATAAGCAAGCAAAATATAACCAGAGATATTGAAATAAAGAACAAACTGACAGTAGCCAGAGGGGAGGGAGGAGGGGATAACTGGGGTAAAAACAGGAAGGGTCATCAAGGAACTTGTATAAGGGGCCAATGGATAAAGCCAAAGGTGGGTGGGAGGTGACAGTGGGTGGGGTGGAAGAGAGTGATAGGGGAAATGGAGACACCTGTACTTAAACAACAATAAAAAAATAAAGAATGTTCTGTTGAAAGCTTAAAAAAAAAAAGAAGACATATGGAGAAGGAAAGAAGAAATACAGGGGACCAGTGAACAGAGCCACAAAAACCTAAAAGTTTAGAAGCAGAATGGCTTGAGAAAAAAAGAAACAGGGTCAATGTTAAAACTGAGTGGTCCTGGAGATAAGGTGGAAATTGGTTCTGGGAGGCACTGTGACAGTACCCAGTGCAACCAGGATACCAAACCAGCCCTATCCAGACTAGAATTTTGAGTGTCTTTTTCTAACATCTATTTTTGTTAACAAAAGGAAAGAGGATCTTCTAGCCGTAATGAGCAAAAGTTGGAAACAAAAATCTGTATTTTCTTAATAAGTTTAGTTTTTTGCTTTGATAGTACAATTATTCTTGTATTCTCAGTTTCTTAGTAAAGGTTATTTTGAAGAAACTAAAAATAAGCAAACAGAAATTAAAACTTATTGGTCTAGTTAGTGTAAAGGTATTTGACTTATACAAATTCTGAATGATAGAAAATCTTACTGAGCTCATTGTTCAGTCTCTGAGAATAAAATAAGAGCCTAGGCAGAAAAGAAAACATTTCATTTCTTCTAAGAAAACATTAGAAGAAATAAAATGAACTGAAATATAGAAGAAACAATGCAAAGTGAGGAGGGACAATGTGTAAGGGAATACCTTTTAGAACTATTTTCCTAAGTATATAATAGTTTGATGTTTTATGATAGCATGATTTTAAGCATTTAGTTTAATAATTTTAGGCTATCTCAAATAATTTTTAGAATGAGTTTGGAAGATAAATATAGAAATATAACATACATATGCATCAATCTATAAGTGATTATTTTTATCCCTATTTTAGAGAACAATTTGGTGAATCTGGCCTTACCTGTTCTAAAGTTTCAAAATGACCTGTTTAGCTGAGTATCAAGTTGCATGTTCAATATGTTTTGTTATCAGAGCCACAGACCAGAAACAACTTATTCATATGATATAATAAACCAGCAGAATTAATGGATCAAGAAAAATATGATAAAGGTAACATATCTTTGTCAATCTTACAATGCATTCTGTTACTCTCCTGGAAGTCTTCGTTGTCTGCGTCAACTTTCTCTGGTTCGGAGCAGTAGGTTTGAATGTTGTCGTCTAGGTACCAGCTGAGATTTTCATCCACCACAGAAAACATCACTACAAATTCTTGGTCAATATTTTTTTCTTTTTCATTATCCAAAGAATCTAAAGTGAAAATTGTTATTTCAGTAGAACTTTATCTTTACCATGTATTTAAACATGTAATTTATAATTTTAAAACTTTTTATTACTTATCTTCCTCATAAACCACAAATTTAGACTAGTCACTTCCGTTTTACAGAATTGGAAACATTTTGGAAGTTTTATGTTCAGTGTTATGGGCTTGGCAGACACTAATATATTTGGATGTTCAGTAACCACATAACTATTAAATGCTTTTGGGAAAATGTGAAGGTTGGAATTCAAAGTTGTGTATACATCTTCTAGTGCCTTCAGCCACAAGCCAAGTCTTTGAAGGTAACTAATGATTGTTCAAGCAAGAATTAGATTTCAAGATCTTGATCTATGTTGTCTTTTTTATGATATTAGAAATAGATAATATGATATTTTATTTACCAACACAAAACAAATAACCACAGACCTGTCACCAAGGAGTGTCACTAAGGGAATCACGTTTGGGTAAAGTCATACATGTTTTCAACTCCACTGTCAATTTAGATACAGCAAACCTCTCCCCGAGGAGAGCATATTTCCTGTAGCTCAGCCATATGTATGAATGTTTGTTCCATTTATCCCTTCTTCTCCTATGCTGCCCTGCTCTTCCCTTCCTTCCTTTTTTCTAGACTCACTTCCTCTCCACCTTACCTGCCAAATCATAACACAGAAGACTTGACTTATACTTAAAAAACAAACTGCCCTCTCTGTCTCTTGTCTTTTGGTCATACTTGTATATTCTGAACAATAATGAGACAATGTACCTTTTTTACAGAATATTAAAGGTCCGATGAGTCCTGAGGCAATATCTCTTGGAGCATCAATGTGAGAGTGGTAAATTCTGGTCACACAATTGCCATCTTCCTCAGCAGGACTTTGTTCTTGAGTAGCATACAGCACGTATTTATACTGCTCACCTGGATTTACTTTGTCATCTGCTTTGTGAAAATCCGTGGTGTTATCAGGGTAGATGGCCCCTAGGAAGCAACATGCAATGAAATTGCAAATTGAATGTGTTTGAATTTAAAAGAAAGAATAGATATTTACTAATTTATTCAACAAACACTTATTCAACATCTATTACATGTCCCCTTGGGGGATGCAGTGATATCCTATTTGAACACAGAGGCTAGAGGGTTTGTAACTTGACAGAAAATGTTATCATTATTTTTCATGTCAACTAAGTCTTCAGGGAGCAGTAATAGAAATATCAGGAGCATAGTGACTTTTGGTTTGTAATTTGAAGAACCACTCTTGCCTTAGAGCCATGGTATGGACGCATGAACAAAATGGCTATCCTCTCCTATAATTTGAAACTTTTTATATAATATTAGATTTTTGCCTGTGAAGTAACCATGGAATTTTTTATTGTTTTGCTTTTAATTGTGTAAATATCCAAACATATTCACAAGTTAAGAGAATAATATGTTGGACTGCCATGTTCCTATCAACCCAGGTTTAACAATGGTCAACTCAAGGCCAATCTTGTTTCATCTATACCCCCATCCACTCTCGCCTCCATCACCATCTAATTATTTTAAAGCAAATCCCAGACATCACATCATTTATTCATAAACACTCAAGTATGTATCTCTAAAAGATAAGAACTCTTTTTTCTTTTAACACAAACACAAGTATCATACCTTAAAAATGATTAATAAACTAATATACCATAAAATTGTAAAAAAGAAATAAGGTGGTAGTCATATGCCTCTATGCTATGAATGTAATTGTTGAGTTCATAAAAAGAATATAAAATGTGTGATTAAAACATTCACCTTCTAAAATAATAACTCTGTTTTTAAAAAGAATAGTAATTAATCAAGTCTAATTTTATCTTAATTTTCAGACTTGATCCTTATAATTTCAATAGAGTGTATAATGGCCTTGGCATTTTTGCTTATGATCAGAGATGACATTTATCGAGATATTTCTACATACTACCTTTGTCTCTATTTTATACATGAAGAAACTGAAGCACAGAAACTGAAGTAACTTGCGCAAGGTCATTCAGCCAGCACAAGGCAACATTATCCTTAAACCTTGGCCTATGATTTTTGAAGTCCTTGCTCTTAACTACAACCAAGCACCAACTTTTTTCATCATCGTTATCATCATTGAGTATTAAGGATGACATAACAGTCCTACATTCAAATAACCTTTTGGTTAATTGTGTCTCATATGTGACTCCTGAGCATGCACCATTGGCTGATGTATGAGAGTACCCATGCTGCCTTAGCAGCAGCCATTTATCTAAAGTTAGGATGGGAGGTGACAATGGCCAAAGTCTATTTACTGTTTGAATGATGAGACTATCCTTGCCTTGAGTCCTGTTTCTTCCTTTTGGATTTTTTCATTTTCTAGGCCTTCATGTACACTGTTTATATTTCTCGTTCTGACCACTTGGTTGGAAAGAAGTTGGGCACTAGAAGAACTTCCAGCTCTCACTGCCTTTCAATATGTGGATTCGCCCAGAAATCCCAACACATTCACACTTCACACAAACATACTCAAGAGAAACAAAATATTATTATGATGAACCAAAATAGTGATTAATAAAAATAGTTTGGATCTAAACAACATTGTTACTGATTTGACTAGAAGTAGAGTTCATAATCTTAGAAGTTAAAAGGTGTTCCTGCTGAAAAGTGAGAGGAAATTCCAGAGAAAGAATGAGCTTAACTTACCCTCATGTTCCTTAAAATAAGTTATGCCATGTGAATGAAAAGTGTAGGGCCTAGAGGCAAAGTTTTTTAAGTGGACATAAATGGTATCGCCAGTTTCTGCTTTGATTATAGGGCCTAAAAACCCCAGCCACGCAGGTTTTTCTATCGTCTTACTAAAGGTTTCATCTGTGTATTGAAGATAAATGGCCTTCTTGTATATTCGCCCAATTCTGTCGGGGCCACTTTGAAGATAGACATTGGAATCTTCCCTGCAAAGGAAAAGAAGACAGTCACTCTATCAGAAGCCATCATTTCTGGGGGTAACATTATAATTCAAAGAAATTAATGACCATATCACATTAAATGTTTGTCTATTGTTGTAGGGGTGCCTCCAAAAAATGAAGAGGAGAACTGGCACTTAGTCCTGGTGTTTTAATTATGTGAAGTGTCCCACATCATGTATGCAGCAGAGAACCATCTGTAAAGGTGCCATAGACATATGATGCACCTTACCAGAGTATGTCTTTCAAGATTTTTATATTAAAACACAGAGGAATTATGGAATAGAATATAAAATTAAAGTGAAATATTAAGGTAAAGCAGTTAAGATATTTGTCACTTATGGTAAACCTCTTTCGGCTTCTGGAAAAGTTTGAGTTTATAAGCAATCAATTTGTATATTTGTGTGTGTGTATATATATTTATATATACTATAAAGTAGTAGTAGTATTTATATATACTGTAAAATAGTAGTAGTATAAAGTAGTAGTAGTAGTAGTTAATTAATGATGTTAAATTAATTCTATTATTTTTATTTCTTTTAGTAGCACTAAATCAAGGTCAGAATTGATGTGTATGGCATGTGGGGGTTTTAAAATTACCTCTGGATTCAAATTACCCTTATATTTTTTAATCCCTTGCTACCAAGAATACTTGAACATTGAATGTTTATATTCTGATTAGTGGCTGATTAACAGTTGCTTAAAACTTTCCTAAAAAATATCAGTGAAATCAACAGGGGCCAGGGAAAAAAAAAAGAAAAGAAAGGAAGAGAGAGAAAGTGAGTTTGGTATTCCAACTTTGGAACTGATTCTGAAGTTATTGTCCTTAACAGAAGCTTGGACAGAAGCTTGGTGGGATCTGTGGGTGCTGCCAGTTAGTGGTTTAGGGGGACCAATTTTAAACCTGGGCTTTGGCAAGCCCCTCTTCTACAAGTGAGCAACCAACATTTCCTCCAGAAGAATAAAGCCTGCTAACGCTCAGGCTGATGATTTGGGGTGTGTGTTTGGGGTGTGTGTGTGTGTGTGTGTGTGTGTGTGTGTGTTGATTACTTTTGTCTCAGGGACTTTTGATGCCTCCTCATCTTCCACTCAACCCCTATAGCCCCAAATAACCTGACTGAGGAATAAACATCATCTTGTTTCCTCAGCTGTAAGCTCATAGGAGAGAGTGAGAGATATTTTCCTTTTCTTTTTCAGGACAAGAGTAGATCTTGTCTGGGAGCTCTGGAGTTTCATTGCTGCAGAGTTTAAAGACTTAGTTTTTTAAAAATCTAGGGCTTTAGCCAAAATTTTCTTAAGCTTTAGTGTGCATAGGTATCTACTGAGGACCTTGATAAAATGCAAGTCCCTGAACCCCACACCCACTGATTCTGATTCTGTGCATCTGACTTGGGGATCAGACATCTGCTTTCACTAAAAATATCCCCACCTCAAGTGTTCTGATGCTTCTCTGGACTCATTCAATAGCCTGAGTTGGGGAGGCTCTGAGGTGAAGGAAATGGCCCCCAGCTGCCCAGTCCTAGAGGTAGTAGAATTCCCAGAGATAGTGAGACAGAAAGGTGTCAGGGTCTATTTCCAGACCAGACTTGGTAGTGGCCAAGCCTCTGCTGGTGTGGTTCCATGGGAGCATCAGATTAAACCTGGGTGCTGGAGCCAAGGAGCATGTGTGCTTGGCAGTGGCCGTGATGGCTGAGTTTGGGCAGCAGGAGCAGGTGCTGAGAACAGCAGAGACATCGCGCTCTGGATTGACCAGGGGGTTTTGCCAATGAGCATGTCACAGTTGTTATCATACACCAAACACCCCCATTTTCCTGACTTGTGTAAACCCAAAGATTCTCAAATTTTTCACTTAAAAACAAATGAGATGGAGCCCCCTTCCCCATGCGGGTGGGAGGAAGGCCAAGCAAGATGTTTGAAAAATAAAGTAACACCTTTGGATCCAATATGGAATGGCAAATTCATGTTTATGCCACAATTTCCATTTGTTTTCATTTTCTAATTGTTTGTTGCAGTTTCCATTTTGTTAGAAGAAAACAGAAAAAAATATTCAGGCAGGCTCAGAGTCTTCAAGGACATCAAAATGCATGGAAAAACAGCAGGACAAGAATATCAATCCCCCCTGCCTCCTAAATTACAGCATTACTAGCAACAGGAATGTTCTTAATAAACAGATGTTTTAACAAACAGCAAAACTCTGAGGCACTGAAGACCACTGAGATGCAGACAGATTATCCAGTCCATACTGCTGACAGGAGCTAATCAAGAGTCCCATTCCAGTGTGGCACACAGCTGCAGCAGCAGAGCCTGCAGAGTGAAGATGCAGCCCTCTATCTCATCAGAAGAACCTGGACCTCTTGATCTCACAGGGTGCATCTAAACACCAGGATAAATTTTCCCCATTGTCTTTACACACTCCTATTGCTAGGAGATTGGTCCCAATTTTATATATATATATATATATATATATATATATATATGGCTCATAGATATATAGTAATATATTACTATATATAGTAACATTATACTATATTACTATAATATATGTTACTATATATAATAACCTAGTAACCTAGGTTACTATACATAATAACCTAGTAATATAATAGCCTAGTAACATATTACTATATATAACTATATATAATTATATATAGTAATATATATTAGATATACACTTTAATCTGTATTTTACCATGTCCTGTTGATGCATATCTCACACAAGGCCAAAGTTGAAAAATAGTTCTCAAATCCCTGTTTTATTGATTGATTTTAAAGAGAAAGAGGGTGGAAGAGAGAGAGAGAAAGACAGAGAGAGAAACATTGATTTGTTGTTCCAGTAATTTATTAATTCATTAGTCACTGGTATGTGCCCTGACCAGAGATCAAACCAACAACCTTGGCATATTGGGATGACACTAACCAACTGAGCTCCCTAGCCAGGGTTGAATAGCTCTTATTCTTAAAGCTTCATTTAAATACAGTGGTATGCACAGCAAAGGAAATTGTCACCAAATAAGAAGAAAACTCACAGAATGGGAGAACACATTCGCCGACACATCTGATAAGGGATTAATATCCAAAATTTATAAAGTACTTATAAAACTCAATACCAAAACAAACAACACAATTAAAAATTGGGCATAGGACCTGGGAGATACTTCTCCAAAGAGGACATACAAATGACCAATAGACATATGATCAATGTCACTAATCATCAGAGAAATGCAAGTTAAGACCATAAGGAGATACTATCTCCCACCTGTCAGAATGGCTATCATCAATAAATCAAAAAACAAGTACTGGCTAAGATGTGGAGAAAGGGGAACCCCTTTGCCCCGTTGCTGGAAATGCAGACTGGTATAGCCACTGTGGAAAGCACTATGGAGATACTTCAAAAAAATTAAAAATGGATCTGCTTTTTTACCCAGCAATCCCACTTCTGGGAATATATCCAAAGGAAACCAAAACACTAATTCAAAATAACGTAAGCACCCTTATGTTCATTGCAGTGTTATTTACAATCACCAAGATATGGAAGCAGCCCAAGTGTCCATCAACAGATGAGTGGATAAAGCAACTATGGAACATTTATACAATGGAATACTGCTCAGCTGTAGAAGAAGAGGAAGAGGAAGAAGAAGGAGGAGGAGGAGAAGGAGAAGGAGAAAATTGTACCCTTTGCAACAGTATGGATGGACTTGGAGAATATTATGCTAATGAAATAAGCCAGTCAGAGAAAGACAAATACCATATGATTTCACTCATATGTGGAATCTAAGGAACAAACTAAACTAACAAGTAAAACAGAGACAGATTCATAGATGGAGAGTAGGCTGACAGCTAGTTGAGGGGGGGATGTTAGGGGGTGGAGGGATAGAGCAAAAAGGACTCATGGTCATGGACAACAGTGTGATGATTGCTGTGGGGAGTGGGGTATAAGGGGACTAAATGGTAATGGAAAAAAATATAATAAAATATTTAAAAACAAATAAATGCAATGTGTATTTATATTTTCTAAAAGTGACTCCAAAGCACTTAGTCACATCTCATTTCAATAGAGCAGGCTTTGATAAAATGCTTTCATTGCATTGAAATTCTCCTGTATTAATTATTTCCTGAAATAGGAGGAGCATTGCTTAAACTTTATGGTTTCTTGTACACAATGATTTCAGGGGGAGGGGATTGAAAATTATTTTTCAAATAGTTGATCTGAAGTTTTAATATATTCAGGGTTTTTTTAAATTTGGAACTCCTTTTATATACTTAGCAATATGTAAAATATGTTTCACATCTTGTCTTTTGTGGTGAAACAAAATGAAGTCTTAACCAAATAGAGAAATATTTCACTTCATGTGATACTTTAGGGGAGGTGTATTTGTTTATGTTCTGCTTCCAAATGAACATCAGTGGGTCTTTGGGGAATATCTATTAAATTACAAGAGCACCACTTAGGGACAAAGGGCCAGTTACTGGAAGATTGCGGGAAGTTTGCCAGTCAGATACTCCATCCAAAGAATCTATTATAGTTGTTCTTTGAACCAAAAAAATAACTCACATTAATTGCAGTTCTTCCTGTTGGCAACTGTAACATGCTCCCTTCTATTCATTAGAATAGTTGTGTCCCTGGCTAAGTAATCACATCCTTCCTGTTTCATTCTTTTTTGTCCTCCAGTTTCTATAATCCTGCAGCCAACTCCTGTAATTTCTGGTAGGGTCAGACCCAGAAGTGAATTTTTAATGGTAGGAGAATTTAAAATAATTTTATACTGCCTTAGAAAGATAATAATAATGCTATTCCCTTCCATAAAAATTCATAATGCACTCAAATGGTCTTGACTAATGTTTATTATGGTTACTAAAGTGTGGTTACTAATATGTGCAAAGTTTCTGGATTCTTGGCTTCATTAATTGAGACATAGCATATGAGTTTTCTATCGCTGCGTAACAAGTTATGGCACAGCAGCTTAAAACAATATTCATTATCTCACAGC